ACAAATTCAATTGCTGCAAAATATCCACAGTTACTGCAAGTCTTTGATTTTGGATAATCAAATTCAGCAAAATTATAACAATATTTTCCATAATCTATATTTGGATTTACAGAACCAATTTAATTTTAAAGTATCCTCTTTGTAAGATCCCATTTACATTTTAATGGATTATACTATTACAGATATAGTTAAGACATTACAAATTTCTTGAGCAATTGTGACACATTGAGGCTGGAGATGGGGTTTTTATATTTTGGATTTGAATATAACAGACCGAGCTTAGACATTACAAGTATTAGAAGTAATAATAGGCATAAACAAAAAGACCTTAGAAAACCAAAATGACTGCATTTTTGCAACGCAACAAGTAATCTAAAATTCTATTATTTGAAATTGTTTTTAGTATTCAAAATCAAAATTCTTATTCAACTACACAATAATAATTGTAAAAATAATATGAATGTATTTTTATTTATATCTCATTACTAATTCTATCAATCATCATATCTCTTTTCTCCTATTTTGTTATTAAAGTATATATCAATTTCTACCCAAATACCTGCTTTTTGACCGTTATTATTATATTCACCAATATAAATGATTTAATTGAAATGCGATTCACTTGAATAATAAAATCTTTCATTCAATTCTATCCACTTTCCAATCTTTTTCTAATTTCCTTCTTAATCATATGATCCACCACCACTATATAAATATTTAAATATTCTTATAAATAAATAATTTTTACATTTATTTATATTCTTATTCTTCCCTTTTACAATACATAATATCCCATTTACCAACTTTCATACCATCCATATTATATTCACCATTATAAATGACTTTAGCATAACAGAAAAATCCTTCAAACAATTCTACCCACTTTCCAATCTTTTTCTAATTTCCTTCTTAATCATATGATCCGCCACCACTATATTTAAATAATCTTGTAAATACATAATCTTTACATTTATTGATATTCTTCATTTTCACAATGCATCGTATCCCATCTCCCTACCTTCATATTATTCATATTATATTCTCCAATATAAGTGACTTATTTCCAATAATTAAATTCTTCATCCAATTCTACCCACTTTCCAATCTTTTACTAATTTCCCTCTAAATCATATGATCCACCACCACTATATATTTAAATAATCTTGTAAATACATAATCTTTACCTTTATTGATATTCTTCATTTTCACAATACATCGTATCCCATCTTCCTACCTTCATGCCATTCATATTATATTGACCATTATAAATGATTTTTTTGACAAAGTCACTGTCACAACAAAACTCTTCATCCAATTCTACCCACTTTCCAATCTTTTTCTAATTTCCCTCTAAATCATATGATCCACCACCACTATATATTTAAATAATCTTGTAAATTCTATAATCTTTACATGTATGTATATTTCATCTCCCATTTCCTACAATACATTATATCCCATCTTCCTACCTTCATACCATTCATATTATATTGACCATTATAGGTGATTTATTTGACGTACTCACTATCACAACAAAACTCTTCATCTAATTCTACCCACTTTCCAATCTTCTTCTAATTTCCTTCTTAATCATATGATCCACCCCCACTATATATTTAAATAATCTTATAAATTCTATAATCTTTACATTTATTTATATTCCTTCTCATTATACTTACAATACATAATATCCCATCTACCTACTTTCATACCATTTATATTATATTCACCATGATAAGTAACTTTTTTATCATCATTAAATCCTTCATCTAGCTCAATCCATTTGCCTAACTTCCAACCCTCTTTATTGTAAGACCCACCACCACTAAATTATTGTAATGTTAAATACATTTTCCCATCTTAAGAAATATAATTCCACCTTCCAATTCTAAAGTCATTATGATATTCTCCAATCTCAAAAATTTATGCTGTACTATTCATAATGTAAATAATAATATTCTACCTCTAATAGTTTGGAAATAGATCTTTCCATAATCCATACTTTTATCCTTCTTTATGATATCCGCCAACATTAATTAAATGTACTCCATTCCAAAAAGCAATCCATTTACCATCTTTCTTTTTGTTTTTATCTTACTAACCTTACCATGAAAGATTGT